GGATAGTCTGCGATTCAGACTCTTTCCATTTGGGGCTAAAATCAGGCCCAGGACACCAGAGGCAGGAATGGCACAATCTTTAACAAATGTGGCCAAAACTAGAAACAAAAAGAAAAACAAGTGTGCGCTGGTACAGAAAGCCTACTCACGTTCCTTTTGCCTTCCCAGGCCTCGAGTCCCTGCGGGACAGTGCCCACTCCACCCCTGTGCGCTCCTCCTCTCACGGGGACACCTTCCTGCCTCACGTGAGAAGCAGCCGGGCAGACAGCAATGAGCGAGTCGCCGTGATTGCAGACGAGGCCTACAGCCCTGCAGACAGCATGCTGCCCACCCCTGTGGCCGAGCACAGCCTGGAGCTGATGCTGCTTTCCCGGCAGATCAATGGGGCCACCTGCAGCATCGAGGAGGAGAAGGAGTCTGAGGCCAGCACCCCCACTGCTGCAGATGTGGAGGCCCTGGGGGGAGAGCTGAGGGCCCTGTGTCAGGGGCACGGCAGGCCGGAGGAGGAACAGGTGAATAAGTTTGTTTTAAGTGTCCTCCGTTTGCTCCTTGTGACCATGGGACTCCTCTTTGTTTTGCTCCTCCTCCTGATCATCCTTACCGAGTCTGACCTTGACATTGCCTTTTTCCGAGATATCCGTCAGACCCCCGAGTTCGAACAATTCCACTATCAATACTTTTGTCCCCTCAGGCGATGGTTTGCCTGCAAAATCCGCTCCGTGGTGAGCCTGCTCATTGACACCTGAGAAGACATGACTCCTCCTAATAACTAGCCAGGTGGACCAAGGAGCCCGGCTACCCATTCCCAGTAATGGGACCCATCGCGGAACCATCGGCACATGTACCAAATCCTCCTTTCATGACTCAAAGTCCACAGCCTAGGAGGGTGGTTTCCCAGAAGAAGAAGGGGATAGGCTCATGCCCTGTCTAAACAAACTGGGAAAGCTCATTCCCTTCAGCGGTTCTCCCAGGAGAGGCTCGGCGACGCTGTTTCTCATCCTCCCAATACGCAGGATAACTTCTGGCTTTGAATTTTGATTTTTCATAGATGTGTATTATTTTGAAAGTATCGAATAAAAATAATTTATTTTATTATTACCGATTATCGCCGTAGTGTCACCTAGCAGACGGGACACTAGTTGAAGACTAGAGAGCTGTTGTCTTCTGTATTCTGCAGGAGCTTTTCTACTGGGTTTCAGTAGACTCGTCACTGCAGCCTCAGTGGGGCAGACCAGGGATCTGGACAGTGGAGACGTCTAAGTTTTCTTGCCAGACAGAGCTTTTTAAAAAGTAAACATCCATGTAGAATGATTAAATGAAAAGTTGCTTCTTATGATGGTCTGAGTTGGATTTTCTTTTCCTTTTGTTTTTTTTTTTTCAAATCTGAGCAGAGTGGGCATCTGAAGGGACCACCGCTACAGCAGCAGCAAGCAGCAGGGGTGGGGTAAGTCTGTCCCCTTAGACTAGATCCTAGTGGGCATCGCCATGAGCTTTGTATAATGAACTTTGACTTCTGTGATTTTTTTTTCCTTTCGGAAGAACCTCAAGACTTTTAGAGTGCTCCAGAGGCATTAGGTGAATTGAGTGGTACCAGACATAGGACTGTCAGAAATGTTGGACAAAATGTAGTTAACAGAAACCAGAGCTAAGATACCTGAGAGACTGTTGAGATTCAGAGAGCAGTGCTTATTTTGTACAACCCCCCGCAAAAAAAAAAAAAAAAATACAAAGACTATTTCAATTTATATTTTAACAACAAAATGTTATTTTCTTATCAATTCATATTTTGTTTTTACTTTATGGATTAAGAAAATAGAGCCTGATGAACTAAATGATGCAAGACAGAAACTGATCCTGAGAATGAAAAGCTTCAGAAAATAGAATTCCAAGATCAACAAACAGCCTTGGAAGGGACCAGGAAAGTAACCTCTTTAAATAGGAGGCCTAAGACATGCCTGCGGAGAAAGGTGGACGTGGCAGAGGCCAGCCTTTAGATGTAGAAGTGCTGCCCCCTAGGGACCTCCTCCGCATCAGAAAAGTGAGTTGTAGGAAAGAGCGCTTGCCGTCCCTGGCGAGGGAAGCGGTGGAAGCGGTGGAAGCGCAGCACGAAAGGGTGAGCGTGGTGTCCGAGGCCCAAGCTCGGCAACTGTTACACACACTCACACACGGGATCTTGTTTTCATCTCAGGGAGAGATTTCTAAGTCACCTGGGGTCTGCCGCAGGGAGGAGGAGGAGGAACCTGAGGCCAGCCATGCCCCTGACACAGGGCTCAGCTCTCCCCCAAGGGCCTCCACATCTGTAGCAGATGGTCAGTGGACAATTCCTGGGACCCACACAACAGTGGAGCAACTGCTGACACCCTACGGTGTTCGGTCCCCCAAATGCAGAACAGAACGAGTCACTTTTAGGTTTGCTCACCGCTAGTTGGTCCCCTGAGATGGCAAAACCATGTCCATGTATAGAGTGCAAACAGCCTTGGAATAAATGGGGTTTTTCTTTTGGGGGGAGGAGGGGGAGATGTGGAGGGGTATATAATGTTAAATGTCCATTCATCTAGACCAAGGTTGGTAAGCTTCTTCTTCAAGGTGCCAGATAGTAAATATTTTTTTATTTTGATGTTGTGGGCCATAGTCTACGGCAACTATTGAACTCTGCCGTCGTAGCACAAAAACAGCCAAAGGTAATACATAAACGAAGGAATGTGGCTGTGTCCCAAGAAACCTTTTTATTTATAAAAAGAGAGTGAGCTGAATTTGGCCCACAAGCCGTAATTTGCCAACCCTCATCTATACAATGAAACTGCCCCTTACCATGATGTTAGCAGAAAGAGGGTCGGCTCTGCGCCAGTTCCTGACGTGTGCTAAAGATCCAGGGCCGTTTCCCAGGGGAGGCACGGGCGTCGCTTGTTTAAAGGGTGCTCGCACAACCAACCAGCAGAGAGATGTCTGGGGCCAAGATGTGCAAGACCAAGTACTGGAATGCTAAAACACAGCCAGAATCTAAGAATGGAAGAGGGCTTGTCTGATCATTTCCATACCAGCAACTTGGGCAGAATTACAAATATCTATTTACCAAGTGACAAGACAAACTGAGGGGGAGCCTAGTAAAGATTAGGGATCACTTAGAATCAACTAGCCACTGCCACTTACCATCTATACAGGAAAGGCTGTATTTAGTACAGAGCTAAAGCGAAAAGAGTAGACTTGGAGATGAAAAGGCTGTCAGGAGATAGGGGGCTGGTTTTAACATGGATAGCTACTGTCTTATGCAATATAGCAGATTACCTGTTAGTGTAGTGTTCCTACCTCAGCCTGTAGAGCATGGTGTTTCTATGCAGTGAGTGACAGCCTCGACGCGGACCATTCATATCCACATTAAAGAAAGATGCAGTATCCCAGTTCCTGGTACATTACTTGTGTCTAGACTTCTAACAGTACAATAGTCCATACCAATTCCAACAGCTGGATTTTTCTCTCTGAATAGAAACTTTCAGGTCCTTTTTTTCCAGGGCTTATCTCAGAAAATACATATAGAAAAGTTTCCTTCAATTTGCTTTTCAAACAGTGCTTGAATAGCAAGCCTCCTTTGTAGGTGACTAGTCTTTTATGGTATCGCCTCATCATTTAAAATTGTTCAAGTTTTTAACCTGCTTTTACTGTGTTCCACTATGTCTCCCATTTCCTCTTAATTCGTTCGATCTCATTGTAGAAAAGGCAATGGTTTCCATAGCTTCATCTATCAGAGGAAATAAAACTCTTACTAAAGAATAGTGTGCTGCATCTCTAAGCAGTAGAGGGTAAACTACCTGCAAATGTGAATTTCTTAGTTTCATTAAAAAATACATAGTTGCTAACCTTTCGTGTGCCAAAAATTCTAAGTTACATTCTCCTTCAAAGCAATGTACTTTTTTCTACATATTCAGTATGTAGTTAGCATAAAATCATTGGTGCCATGAAAATTATTTTTAAACTTAAATAAATATTTAAATATCATAGAAGAGTGGACTCTTTTTTAACTTCTATCATGTCTCACTTTATCCTCAAAGTTCCCAACACATAGATAAAACGGTACCAGTGGGATTTACAAAGCTCACTGCCACTTGCGATTGGAATCAAAATAATTATTTTGCTTATAGCCCTCTCCCCGAAGTAAATACTATTAGGAACTTAGAAGCTGTAAGCGTGAAATAATTTTAAAGGAGAATTATACCTCTTTTTTTCTGATGAGGAAAACCAAGAAGTGATTTTCCCAAGGTTACACAATCTCAGAGCCCAAAGAAGAACCCAGATAGTCCAGCATCTAAACCAGCTTCGAATAAGAGGAAGGACAGAAAACACTTCCCATGAAAGGCACAGAATGATATTCCCACGACAGTAACAAACCTCGTATTTACAACTTACAAAATATGTTCCTATGACATTATCTCACCTAATCATGTAATAATCATCACTCTGTGGCTAAAAAACTGGTAATGGTCTTCTAAATTCCATAAGGATAAAAGGTGAAACGAGGGTCCACTATGCTAGCCTATTACCTTCCTGTTTTCAACTCTACCTCCAATCCTCCGTTCTCCTGCAGCTCATTCTCGTAAAACACTGATGAAGTTAGGACACTTAGTCTCCAAAATTTCAGAGGTGCCCATACCTACCTATAAAATAACACCTATGCCCCCCCCCGACCCCTGTCGAAGTTTATTAAAAAAAAAAAAGTCTTTGCTTAAAGTGACCTGAAGAATAAAATGCAGAAGAAAAACCACCATAAGGACCAATGGATGTGGGTGTTTTCCCAGATCCTACAGATTTACAGCAGCCACCCTATGCACACCCCTTTCAGGGCTCTAGAATCCACTCCCCCTGCTTAGGATTCCTCAGCCATCACCAAGCCCCTCTGCGCCTGAGCACACTTCTGGTTTTAGTTCAGGAACATGCTTCCTCTACACACCCCTACAACTTGCTGATGGAGCAGAGCAAACTGGCAAAAGGTACTTTAAAACTTTTCCTCTTGACCAGCTTCCATTTTAGGAAAAGATACTTTAAAATGTTTTTTTCCTGCCCTAGCCAGTTTGGTTCAATGGATGGAGCATTGGCCTGTGGACTGAAGGGTCCTGGGTTCGATTCTGGTCAAGGGCACATGCCAGGGTTGCAGGCTCAGTCCCCAGTGAGGGGGGTGCAGGAGGCAGCCGATCAATGGTTTTCTCTCTCCCTCTCCCTTCCTCTCTGAAATCAATAACAATAGAGCATCAGCCTGCAGACTGAAGGGTCCCAGGTTCGATTCTGGTCAAGGGCATGTACCTTGGTTGCAGGCACATCCCCAGTAGGAGATGTGCAGGAGGCAGCTGATTGATGTTTCTAACTTTCTATCCCTCTCCCTTCCTCTCTGTAAAAAAAAATCAATTAAATATTTAAATATATCTATCTATATCTATCTATATATATATATATACACACACTATCTATCTTTCTATCATCTATCTATCTATCTATCTATCTACACACACTAGAGGCCCGGTGCACAAAAATTTGTGCACTCGGGGGCATCCCTCAGCCCGGCCTGTGCCCTCTCACAGACTGGGACCTGACCCCCAGGGAGTGGGCCTAAGCCAGCAGATGGTCATCCACTATATGTGTGGCGTGTGTATGTGTGTGTGTGTGTGTGTATATATATATATATATATATATATATAATGAAATGTTTTATTCCTCATTCTGTAACTGTGCTAAATGTTATCTTCACCTTTTCATTTGAAAATCTAAACATTTATATCCAAATGAACTGCAATATTGTTCTATGGTGTTTGGAACTAAAACTCAATTCTACTATCAAACTCAGTTCTAGCTATCAATGTTTAAGGAAACATTTCTTAAAAGATCGCTTTGTACACACAAAAAAGTACTAAGACAGAAGGGACAGCCTAATGAACAGGACACCTAAGTTTTTGGAATCTGAAGTGAGCGGGCATATATTTATTCCTCTTGGGTTTGATATAAAAGGCACATGTGTCTACCCTCCCCACCTTCCCATTTACTATATACTGGATTAAATCTTTGTTTCCACAGCCCTAAGCTTCCCTGCTTTCCTGGAGAACTATTTTTTAAATATATATATTTTAATTAATTTCAGAGAGGGAGAGAGAGATAGAAACATCCATGATGATAATCATTGATCAGCTGCCTCCTTGCACGGACCCTGTTGGGGATTGAGCCCGCAACCTAAGCATGTGCCCTTGACCAGAATCGAACCCGGGATCCTTCAGTCTGCAGGCCGACACTCTATCCACTGAGCCAAAAGGCTAGGGCCTGGAGAACTTCTTAAAGTCTTCTTTATAGAAAGGAAATCCAAAGGCCAAAATACTTAAAGAGGAATAAGCAACTCATATTCTATTAAATCCTAATCATTTATAGTCTCTCCTAGACTAATCAAGTCTGTCCACCCAAAATGGGAATTCTCGCCTTCCTCCTTAATGTAAAGAAAAAAACAAACAAAAAAACCAACCACCAATAAAACACCAGTTATCTTAAAGGAAATAACTCAAGTGGAATTCAGAGCTTCTACACTTAAGAGATATCATAAAGGCAAACTTACAAAAAGGGTTTACCCTGAATGGACAGAGAGCAATCATAATACACAAATAATTATAGAAGCCACAAAGCTTTAAGCAAGTCTCTGGGAGAAATACCTTTCACAACAGACTGTAGTTTAAGGATGCCCTAAGGGAGACAATTTCCTTTTATGTGCTTTCTAGAGTTAAACAATTACTCCATTACAGAGTTTATCCCCGAGTAACAAGTCCCCACTCTCTTTCCTTCCTTCATTGCCTCAAGAAGAAAGAACCCTATTAAGTGGAATTGAATATAAATGGCACAGTTTATGAAGCTACAATGGCAAAAGGAACCACAAAAATGAGAAACATCAAGCATTTGCTAACATGTATTGCAGAAGCCAGGCAATTAACCTCCAAAGCTAAAATGACGATACTAATTTGAAAGTTGTTTTCAAAATTTTAAAAAAGAAACAGTCCCCATAGAACAAACTAGCCACTCCAGAACCTGTGAAATTAAGTGGTGTAGAAAGGGAAAGGAAGCCAATAGGCTTTGTTTACTATTTTAAGGACTGTTTAAATACAATTCAACCTCACTTAGTTTTACTTTCCATTTCATAAATTAATATTCCCACCTCACTTATAAATTTTTGTATTCATATCACCAAGAAAATAGAGAACTCTTATTCCTTACAAACATGCACAACCTATTAGTAAACTAAGCCTCAAAACACTTAGGTTTTAATTGCAGAGAAGGAAATTATTTGGGGGAGGGGGGCGGTTGTTCTTTAAGGAAATTATGCATGTCCATTTATGTGATATACAATTATGAGAAGATAATATCTTCTCTTAGAATTCAAACATATTGCTGAAGCTATTAACAATAACCTTTCAACAGGATTTTGGCAATGAAGAACAATGAAAAAGGTTGGATAGGTAATGTCACATAATAACATTAGTCACTGCTTTAAGAGCTCCATGTCCCACAAAAGACAAATTCAGATTGCCATAGCTTCTGAAAAAAATGTATTTTTATGAAGAACTGACAAAAGTGGTGTTTCATACCATTACCCTAAAAATATGAATAGGAATGAAGTTACTCACTTACCAGGCTATTGAGCCTCATGAGAATTTAAAGACAGGGTCCGATAAGGCTCACAGGGACCCTCTGAGGGAGCTTTCATCTCTTTAACCGTGACCCACTGTACCGCAGCAAGAAAGAAATGCATTTTATATCAGAATACACATATGCATGTACACATACAAATATGTATGCATATGCAACTAAGTGTCTCAAAACAATACTTATTCTAATTATGTTTTCTATTCATGATTATTTCTTTCCTTTTCACTTCTTTATTTTTATGCTGGTCATGGCCACTAAATTGATTTTTTGTGAGTAGCTAAAACCTGGAAAACCCTGGTCTGGGACAATCTCACACTGGATTCCAAGGATCAGGCAGATCCAACCCTACGCCCAGGAGCCCCGGGATTCCTTAGCTGTGCCTCAGGAGCCGCCTAGAGGAAGCAACAGGAAGGGAGCACAAACAGACCCAGGCCCTGCCCCCGTGAGCCAAAGCCTCTCAGCCTCTCAGCAATTATTTTGAAATTTCACATAAGAATTCACCGATGGGGCAGGACGGCCAAGGTGTTCTTGGTTAAAAAACTTAAGTTTCACATCACCGAGTTAGATGATACTCAGGCCCTGTGCAGTGTGAGTCTGGAAATAAATATTCACTCCAAACTATGAAAGAAACCACAAACCTGTATGTCACTATAGAATGAAAACCATATTGGAAGTCAGCGTCATAGCGGAATGAGAGAACTCCTTTGTTTCTCATCTTAAATTTACAAATCAGACAACTATAACTCAACAAAGGATCCCCTGCTCAACACACAACCATGCCTGAAAGGTCCACGGACATCTGAGGGTGGGCGTACTGGAACTAGTAGGGAGACAGGTCCAGGGGAAGGACAGGGACGGCCCACAGGCAGTTTGCTGCCCACTGAGGCTCCAAGCACAGTAGCAGAGAAGTCGGGCTGCAGCCCTCACACTATAGCGTGAAACATCAGACGGGCAGAAAGCAGTTTCTCCCTGGGAAAATGCATCTCCCTTTCCTCCCTCCCCATCATGGCAGAGGTGGATAGAGATGGGCAGGAAGCTTGAAGAAACACAGTGGTGCCTACAGCCTGTGCTGGCAGGAGGGCAGAGCCAAGAGACCATGAACTTGCCCTCCCTGTTCCACACTCCCCAGCAGAGGGTAAAGAAAGCAGGGAAGCTTTAAACAGCACAGCAGGACCTAAAGACAGCCTTTACTGGCAGGATGGCTGAGCCACAAGATTGAAAATGCCACCCCCCCACCCCACTGCCCCACACTCCCCCGAAGAACCTGGTGAAGAAAGCTGAGCTGCCCCAAGAGTATAGAGAAAAGAAAGTACCCTACCTACCAACCTGCTGAATTGTTAAAAGCAAAACAGCATCTAAACAAGAAAAGAGTTTTACCTCAATGTGCTGCACAGAAACAACCCATCAGGCAGTTTGGTGGTTCAATCCCATGAACAACCACGCTAACCTGGGAGCACACAAAGAAAATGAAAAGTCTCCAAAAAGCAAATTCAAAGTCATGGAAAACAGTGATTTAAATGACAGATAATCCAATACTGCAATTATGAAGAAACTCAATGATCTATAAGAAAACTCAGAAAGGGAGCTCATGAATTCAGAAATAAAATTAATAAACAAAGGCATACTTTATCAAAGAGATTGAAACTGGAAAAGAACCAAACATAAATCCTGAAGCTGAAGAACTCCATAAACATGAGGAGGAG